ACAGACTGGTCAAGTGTCCAAATGGCTGTGGGGGCGTATGTCTCAACCTAGAGATGAAGGAGGAAGCACTGCTGCCTGTAAACTCTTGGCCTTGTCATCCTGACTCCTCTGCCCACATGTGGCTCTGTGATTCCAGGCATGAAGGTCCAGCAGGGCTGTAAACTGGGTACTGTTCTCATTAGGGGTCAAATCCGTTCCTCTCTCCTGGCATCTGGGCTGGCTTCAGTGACTTGCTTCACTAATGGGACATGGTGGGAGATGCTTCTGACCTTTGAGACTAGGTCCTAAGCCTTGCAGCTTTTACCTGGGCTGCCAGAGTTGCCACATCCCAAGCCTGCCATACTGGAGAGGTGCCCCAGGGACAGTCCCAGCTCCCAGGATGCCAGACCTGCCGGTGAGTCTGTCTTGGACTCTGCAGCAGCCTATCAGCCAGCTGGCTGCCCCTGAGCAGCTTGGGTCAATGCTATGAGGCTCAGAAGAACCACCTGGCCGACGCTGGCCTGAATTCTTGGCCCATAAAACTTATTAAAATATTGTTTTTTCAAGTCACCGACTTCGGGGGAAGTATGTCAGTTTTCTGTTCCTGAAGAGTAAATCATCCCCACAGGTGACTTACAACAATAACCAGCACTATCCTTCAGTATTTGTGGGGTCAGTAAGTTGGACGGGGCACAGCAGGGTCGGCTTGTCTCTTCCCCCGCAATGTCTGAAGTGGGAGCACTTGAAAGCAGGGGAGGGGGGGTTGGCTTGATGGCTGAGGGCTTGCATCATGTGGAGACATCTTCCTCCGTCTTCCAGCGGGTCCTCCAGCTTCTTGTAGGGCCTTGCTGGACTGTTGGCTGGGACACAGCGAGGCTCTGAGGCCCTTCCAGCTGGCCTCCTCACGTGGCTCCCTGGGGCTTCCTCAGAGCTCGGTGCCTCGTTCCCAGAGTTAGGTGAGGATCTATTGCCTCTTATGACCTAGTCTTGGGAGTCACATAGGTCCTTTCTGATGTGGCCACAGGCTTTCTAGATTAAGGGAGGGAAGATAAATCTCAGATGACCGAGTCCCGGGGTGTTTTGCCTGGAACTGAGGGGTTTCCAGAGCCCAGGATGCTCAGTACTGAAACCAGAGGTGTTCCAGGCAGGCCGGGACAAGTTGGGCACCCCGGTCAGCCCCATGTTCCAGAGGAGCGTCGCTCACATTGCATAGAGCATGTTGGGTGGAGATAGTGTTGACTCACCTTTGAAACATAAATCCCCCCCCCCAGGTATTTTACTTATACAGAACATGTAGCTGGAGCACCAAGTCAGAGCGCAAGAGCAGCTTGCAGTCCATAGGAATGTCAATTCTGTGGGGACAGAGAGTTTCTTTTCTGCTCATCACGGAGTCTCGGGACCTAGAGGAGCGGCTGGTGCCTGGCTAATGGTAATAGATGTTTATGGAATTACCAAAGGAATGAGTGGTAAGTCCTATAGCATTCCATCACATAAAATCCAGCCAGGACCTGACCTCACACTGTCCTTGCTTGCTAACAACCACAGGAGAAATGATTTGAAATGTTTGTTTAAAATGAAAGGGCAGCCTTCCAGGGCAGTGGGAACTAGAAAACTAATCAAAACCAATAAACTTTAGAGAATGTCACTTTACCCTCGAGAGAGCAGACTCTGGACTCTCTCTCTGAGGCACGCGCCACAGGCTGAGAGGGGCGAGAGGAGGTGCGCGGGCGCCCTTGCGTTTCCCTGAAATCCGGGGCGTCCCTGTTGCGACAGGACCTCCTGCGTCACAGCCCTCCTCTCATTTAGCTGAGTGGTGTTAGGAATCCAGCTTCTCCTTAGAAACCCACAAGGAAGAGAAGAGAGGGCAGAGTCTAAAACCAGGGCCTGAGGCTTTGGTGGAGGCATAGAGATAGGAAAAGGGAGGGGAGTCGGTCCACACTTCACATCAGGCTCCTTTAGAGACGCAACATAACTATTGCAGAAAATAAAGGGAAACGGAATCGCTGGGGGGCCGCATTGGTGGCCGGCTCTGCTCTGCGTTCTCTGTGGTGACAGCTGCAAGGGGGGCCCGTGNTCGCAGAAAATAAAGGGAAACGGAATCGCTGGGGGGCCGCGTTGGTGGCCGGCTCTGCTCTGCGTTCTCTGTGGTGACAGCTGCAAGGAGAGCATGTAGCAGAGCAGGAGGCCCAGTGGCCTCCGGTGAGCCTCACCGCCGGCATTTCCAGCCTCAGGCTTCCCTCCCTCACTGCACGAGGCTGGGACCCAGAATAAATGCTTATTGTTTCAGCAGCTAATTTTTGAGGTGACCTGTTTCATGGCAACAGGTAACGGATTCACACGCCTACACTAATTCCTGCATTCTCTTACCTGCTTCCAAATATTTAGTACTAATTTTGACATTGATACTTTAACATCACCAAGATTTATTACCTTATATTTCTTTTTTTTTACCATAATATCCAATGTTTTAGCCTTTACTCTGTATTTTAATGGAAACATCAAAATTTCAGAACTCATGAACAGTCCTTTTGACTGTGGATTTTCCCCTTTGGTTTGTATTTAGTTTCGATTTGTATTTAGCTGGCTGCATTTTCTCAAGCAGCTGTTTAGTGGGCCATATACATTCCGCTCCCAGATGCCCGACAGCTCGAGGCCCTCTAATGGTTCCGAACGTGCCTTTGACTTGCTTTTCCGGTTTGGGCATCCAACTGCCTGTTTGTGCGTGAAATTTAGTAACTTAACCGGACATGGACCAGTGGTGGTCGTTACAGCTTCTCATTGGATCCGATGTCTCCATTTCCCGCATGGCCCCTGAGTATTCCTCGGCTCCATCTTTCCGGTTCCTTCTCCAGGAGTCAGGGATGCCAGCCAGGGTGCACGCGGCCGCTCAGGTCAGGGCCTGGCCGGTTCATTGGCGTGAAGATCGTGTGTAAGTATTTTAACCATTTTCTGTTGCATGTATTAGTTTTCTAATCTAAAACTGAAGATTCTAATATAACCTATCTTTGAAGATTTCGCACATTAAATGATGGATGCTGGACGTTGCTAAGGGAGGAGGGCAAGGGTTTTCTCGTGTTTGTTCTGTCTGACGCTCACTGGGCGTCGTCGAGTGTCTGTCGATTTCTTCCTTTCGTCAAGTTGGGGATATTTCCAGCCCTTAATCATGCAAAGGCGTTTTGTGTTCCATTCTCCGCCTTCCTTCTGGGATTCTGATTACCCACGCGCCAGATGGTGTGATGCTTGACAGGCCCGCGTCTCTGCTCTGCTTTCACTTCCGTCCTTCCTATTCCTCGTATCTGATCACACTGTTGGTCGCACCTGTATCTACGCCTCCTCACTCTTGCCTCTGTTACCTCTGTCTTCTTGACTTGCGCTGTGAAGCCCATCCTGTGAGATTTTTAATTCAGCCGTCGCGTGGTTCAGTTCTAAGGTTTCCCCTCGTGAGCTTTAACTCCTGTGCCCCTGACTCTGCACCACACACGCGTGGTTCAGGGCCAGTGGGAGGTGGGGGCAGCCGGCATCTGGGACCCAATCTCCAAACGGCTCTTCCCCTTTAACGGCTTTCCTACTTTCTCCAGCATCTGTGGTTTACATGAGAAAGACTGTGATCTTTCCACTGGCCCCTGTCCTGTGTGTGACATCAACCAGCCACGAGGATGGAATTTTCTTGGTATAGCTTCTCTTTTCCTTCAAGTGTTTATGCAGCACGGGAGTGTCCGCTGGTGGCTCTCCGGTGCCTTCAGGTGATTGCTTTGCGTAGGACGTCTGGATTTTTAGTTATTTTTTCCTGGGGGGAGCTTCCTGGTGAGATATTATCCTGTCAATTTTAGAATCATAAATTTCTCCCTTATTAAAAAAAAAAAATTGGTTCTTTTGTTCTAACTGGGCTTTGAGTTGATGTAACAGTAAATAGGGGCTTTTTAACTCAACCATCTCTAAGTAGAAATTCCCCCAATTTGATTTCTTTTAATAAGGGACCAAAACGTATCTGATTTCCAGTTCTCGCCCCCTCTTTGTGAATCTTCCCAAAGCAAAGCCAGGCATGAAAAGCCGAGCTTGGTCCTGTTGGGCCCGTGTTTGAGAGCGCGGCCTTCCCGCTGCCCCGTGTCAGGCGGAAAGAGGCCTCTCGTCACCTGGGCCGGCGGGCCAGGCACCCGGCGGGCCAGCTGCGTAATCACTGTGTGCCTGTGTCCGTGGATTTGGGGCAAACATATCTACTTTAAAGAACGGTGCTAAAGATCGAATGAGGTGAAGAATATAAAGTCTCTAGAAAAGAGGAGATAGTAGGTAACATCATTTCCCTCTTGACCTCCAGACTTTGCATTCCATTCATTCTTAAATCCTGCCCGGACCCTCGTATCGCTTTAACCTACGCCTCCTTTACGACCTACACCGCGTTCTTTGTAACTCTCTGCGGTTATTTGCCTTTTTAGTTTATAATTCCCATTATGTTTTAAGACATTCAAGGGACAGATTTTACTTATCTGTGCATCTCTATAGTGCTTTGCATAGACCAGGAATACTCCGTAGTCGCAGAATTGAATTTGTTTTCCCGAATTGCCTTTTCATCCACAATGGCAGTTTCTCAAGAGACATTGTAAAGCTCAATAGCTGTTCTTTAAATGCATGAAAAACTCTTAGTTACATTGACTTTTCCATGTCTTCAATCCTTTCTTCAGTGTTTAAAAATAAACATAAAGATTTTTTTCTGAAGCTCTGAGATCCAGAAGCACACAGAAATCAATTTTATCCTGAATTCATGATGACAAATGTCTCTCCATCTTAACATCATACGTTTTAGGGGGCTCATAATCAAGGACTAAAAATGTCAATAGAGCCCTTTTTGAAAATCACGTATTTTTAATGTTGAGATGGTATGACTATAAATTCATACTTTGAAAAAAATTTTCACAGATACACTTGGGCTTACCCATGTAAGGACTCTTGTCTTTCCGCCTCAATAGGTGAGCACTGTTGTTTTAGTCTGCCCCACACAACCCATGTCTCCCCTCACCTGACAGGAGGTCAGCAAAGCCAGGTGATTCTTTATCCCAGAAGCAGGACTCTCCGGGGACATCCGTGAGGGCAGAGAGTTAAAACAGTCCCTTGTGGCAGTGTGGTGCCGACAGTGAGCCCATGAATGCCGCCTACGAAGGCCTCCTCTGTTGCCTCCTGAAACCCGACTGCCGAGCTCTACCTGTGATGCGGGGAGGTACTAAGGACCTTCCTGAATCTGTTTTTTTTGTTTGTTTATTTGTGGGGTTTTTGGGTAGCATAAGTTAATCATAATTCATTTCTTTTGCTTTCAATCAAAATCAGATACAGAAAATCTCTTTTTGGATCTGCCTGAACCATTAGGCTCTTGAAATACCGGGAAATAGCATACCTGGAATTTTCCTTGGTCCTGGTGCTTGAAGAAAAGGCCTCTTCTCTCCCCTGTTCCTTCTCGTTTCTTCCAGGGAACTTGAGGCGGTTGCTCAAAGGCCGCTGTGGGAAAGCTTTTACAGTCACTCTCCTACAGCAGAGAAGCCCCAGAAGGAAGAGCCCGGAGAGCAATGCAGTCCTGGGGCCGGGCCCCCGGAGCCTTGGGAAGATGTCGGGCTCGGGGGCAGCCAGCAGCGACCAGCCGGGTGTGTGCTGATGGCCGCCCGTAGCAAGTGCCCGGAAAGCAGGGGGGCCGAGCCCCTGTGTGCATTTCTGAGGCCGAACGGCTTGAGCACAGACCCCGGGGAGTCGACATGTGGTTTCTTTCATCAAACTGCTTACAAGGCAGTTCTCTATTGTGTAAGGAAAAGGCTTCTGTGCGGGTATTATGTCCTGAACTTAGACTATTCGTGGGGTCCTGTGCTCCTTTCACTAGTCTCTCCTGTGTCNGAACTTAGACTATTCGTGGGGTCCTGTGCTCCTTTCACTAGTCTCTCCTGAGTCTGTGACGTGTGCACTCATAGTTTATACGCAAGATTAGCTCACGGAGCTCCCTGGACCTCGGCTCAGTATGTCCATTACAGTCGTTGCATCTCTGGTTTTCTTGTGAATTTTTGTCTCTGAAATATGCAGTTATTTGTGACTGTTTTTGAGATGGTGAATTTGGATGTGTTTGTTAAATATACTCTTTTAACTCAGATTTTTTTTCTTAACTTCAGAGGGTGATCGATGAAGAATTGTCCCACCCTTTATGAGAATGCATGCCATGACCATTTAAGTGGGTAAGAGTAGAAAACATCTAATGAGCTTCATGTGTCTTTTAATTTAAAACATTCATTATTTTGATGAAGGCAGAGTATTCTCATGACAAGCAAATTATCTTTGATGATAAAATTACTTCTACTGATGTCTAATAATCATTCTAGCGTGTTTGGCTATCAGCAGTTGCTTAGAGTTCAGTCACAGTAGTGGTGGCAGTCACACTGCACATAAGCCTTTTAGACATTTTCCGAACTTCACTCCTATTGATGATTACCTCCCTAAAAACTCTCTTTACCACAGCGTAGAACCTACAGTAAGTGGAGCCCAAAAAAGACCGCCATTCCCCATGTCTGATGAGAGCTCTAACTATTTCACGTGCAGTTAAGAGAGGGGAAGCCAGCAGGGCCGGAGGGCACCTCGGGGAAGCCGCCCCGGGCGTCCTTAAGCCAGAAGAGAGGCTGCCTGGTGTGCTTTTATGGAATCCTTGTCAAAACCTCCACCCCACTGCCGTCTGTGCTGAGGCGAGATAACAGCTCGCAGCTCCGCGGGACAGTCAGTTCTGAGCGCTCAGTTTTTCCAGCTCTTGTGCCAGAGCTATTTTAAACGGCACCTGAGTCTGGCCTCGCTTCGTGTGCTCCTTGGACCTTACTTGGTAAGAGATAGGTTATGTTTTCAAGGCTATCCTGTGATTTCTGTTTTTAGTTCAATTTAATGTGAATGTTTTGCATTTTCATGATTCCAACAAGAATACAATGTTAAAACCTCAGGACTTTTGGCTTCGCAAATGAAACCAATATAAATTAAGTGGGGAGACTGATTTTACATTATTCAAATCATTTTTCTCCAGTTTTTAGAAATTAGACTGGCTATTAATTCATGTTTGACTTGTTTAATTTTTCCAGAAATATTTAAAACTTTTTCCAAATTAGAATAGATGGATGTTATACTGCAAGCATGTGATTCCACATTGTAACTTTTTGTTTTTTCTTCATTAGACTGACTTTTCTTGTTTACGCCCATATCTCCCCCGAGAGGTCTGCTACTCAAAGAGAGGTCTGCAATGTGTACCAAGTGACCTGAACTCGCTACTCTGAAACAAGATTAGTTCAACTTACCAATGGTGGGTTAAGTGGTTTTATTTAATAAAGTTGTCGTCCCTCTAAATAGTCTGTCCCTTCTAAAAGATTATTGATTTTCCCCAAGAATTGGAGATGTAAGCGTGAGGTGAAATGGATGTCGGTACTGAAAATAATGCTCACTTGGAAACCACGAACACGCGTGATCGGCAGGAGTCAGGGCCACAGGAGAGAGTGATAACCCAGGCCGCGAGCGTGCACCGCGGGCAGGCCCTGAATTGGGAGCTTAGTGCGCACAGCTCACCTTCCGACGGCCTGGGAGCGGCACACAGCGGCCAGCACCTCCAGACGGGAAGGGGAGGCAGGGCCGCGGCGGGAGGCGAGAGCTGCGCTCAGCGCCCGGACAGTCGGGCCGAGCCCACGGCCCAAGCTCCCTCTAAATCGCTGCTCCTGAAGGAAAAGTCTCCAGAAAACTGTGAGATCGCCCTGAACAAAAGAAGCAAAAGAGGAGAGAAAAGGGGACCTAGTCAAACCAAATGACAACGTTGTCCCGGTGCTAGTTCACGGGCAAGTCACCAGTCACGATGACTGAGAGGTTTTCACCTCAGGCGCCATCGAGGCAGGAGGCAGGAGGCAGGGGGCAGGGGGCAGGAGGAAGGAGGCAGGAGGCAGG